TTTTGTAGATATTTCGTATGTAAAAAAGCACCATCTATTCAAAACTGATTTATAATTATGTTATTATATGCATCGAACTCACGATGATTGCAAACGTAATTATCGTGTCGTGATTGACGGATATTAATTTGATAAAGAAATATACATAAGTCTGGAAAACTCCATTTTGTAAAATATCGATATTTCTTTGCAGATGCAGTTAAAGTCTTGTTTTTGCCCCATATTGCTCATCGTATCTACTACGTGAGAGGATTGAATAACAAACTAGCCTTACTTTGACGGTTTACGTCATGACATTGAATATAAAGTAGTAACAACCATAATTAATTTAGGTATTTCAAAAAAGCTCAGACTGTGTGAAAGTAATGCTGAAATCCTCCATTAACGCAGTCTCTGCACTTCACTTCTCTGTTCGATTCGAAATGACTCAGTTTTGTTTAATTAAGCTTATGCTCAGTCTAATACGGCTAAAAATTCACGTGACAAATCAACATAATCTAATGCGTGAATCACGTGTGAGTTGAAGTTGATCCTTTCACATTGCTTTATGTTATAATAAAGACTCTTGTTATTTACATTTAATTAGCATTGTTTGTTACTTAGTTGTTTTCTTTTTAATGTCATTGCATGTTTTTGTAATCTAACATTTTATGTTGGACATGACTTTGTTAAAACTTAGTTCATGTCTGCTTCACCAGAATGGATTGTTTTCAAAATTTTATTTTGTACACAACTAATACAAATCTAAATTATTATCTATATGTAGGGGTTTTAAATCAGAAAAAATATTAATATAATTAAATATGTTTATTTGGGTCTAGGTTCTGGAATTTTCTTATACTATTTATTATTATTATTATTATTATTATTATTATTATTATTATTATTATTATTATTATTATTATTATTATTATTATTATTATTATTATTATTATTATACACACACACACACACACACACACATATATATATATATATATATATATATATATATATATATATATATATATATATATATATATATGTATGTATGTATGTGTGTGTATATATGTTTATATATCGATTTTGAGCTTTGCTGTTACGACCATACACTCTCAAGTTGATTTAACCAAGGAAACATTTTCATTCCAAGATCTTTAACAAAGCTTTTGAGTGACAGATTGGACACACACACACACACACACACACACACACACACACACACACACACACACACACACACACTGATATCGACCTGAGAATTGGAATCTAGCCTTACAGCTAGGTCCATGAAAAAGCCAATCAAGGAATGATGTACAGCTATACGAACCTCAATTTTAATAGATTACAAGTTTAAGCACAAAATAAATATAGTAACGAGAGCCTTAAAAGTAAAAAACTGTACTCCTTTTTATCACATATGTGTAGTTTACGAATGCTTATACATTTATCTCGTTCAGATTTAGAGTTACAAACAGTACATTAATTGTAGCTTTGATCTGTGACCTTACCAGTCATGAAATAGTGACAACACCATCCAACCAGCAGATTAGTCTCAGTAAACCTTACCTGCAGAATAATTTTAGAATATTATGTACAACATTGCACAACTATTCATGCACTCTGCACATTATGTTCAAAAAACATTTGAGTATCGTCACCTACCTGTACAGTTTTCACACTGGACGATTGCTTTGCGTATCACGTCGTTCCCAGTCTATACAGCTAGTGATGTGTCCTACTCCAAGGAAAAAAAAATTGTTCTATACCTCAAATATGTGCTTCTCTCTCTCTCTCTCTCTCTCTCTCTCTCTCTCTCTCTCTCTCTCTCTCTCTCTCTCTCTCTCTCTCTCTCTCTCTCTCTCTCTCACACACACACACACACACACCATTTAGACCTTTCTCTTCTCCTACTATATGCAGTAGTATGTACCATTGCAGATTCAAAAAGTCGCTGATAGCCTCAATAAGGGAATAGTGTTACACGTGTGTGACCTCAATGGAGTGGTGCTTTACTCTTCGAATTGATCTTTGGGTGCGTATGGCAAATCCTATGACAAATGGGTGCATAGGTTTAACATGGGAACGGGTTTAAGCCTCAGAAATGGTTTACGGGATTAAAAGGGTTTATGGGTCAAAAGGATTGATATGCTCATAATGGAAATGACAAGGGTTTTAGTTGAAAACACAAACATACACAAGCACACAAAGACATGCAACACAGGCAAAACACACGTGTTTGGAATGAGGGAGATATTATCTTTTGTAGGCATGTGGAGGTCCCTGAAAAGGTCCATTGGGACTTCTACTTCCTCTCGTATTTCCATTTCTTCCCACTCCCTTTAATCTCTCTAGTAACTTCGCCTTCCGTTTTTTATTTCCTTAGGTATCCAATCAGGATGACATATGTCTCTAAACCTTCCCTAGACCTTGATCCAGTTGTTATTCAATCGATTGAAGAGTTCTTGTTTCTCTTTGTTGTCGTTCCTTAGTCTAGGTAGTCATAATCTTTTCTTCCTCTATTACTTTTTTGTTACTAAGCTCTTAGCTCTTTGAATTGCAGACATTTTCTTCAACTGGCTCTAGAAGTTGCTAAATGCCCACCACTTCCTTCAGTTTGGTTTCCTGTTTACAGGTTGGTTTAGAGTTTTCGTTTGAGAAAAGACAATAACAAACACATAGATACATTCACCATTAGCTATAAAGCATAAATTTTGATAATTAGGATTTGACTTGAATTTACCATGGGCAAAGTAATCCAGTGAATACCCCATACATAAAATCCAAAAGGCCTTATGTAGTCTTCACACACAAACTATCAGACGAACGGTGATTTCCTTTGGACAAGATGGAGATGAAATTTCTCAAACTATCCATCACAGCACTTATATCGTTAAACACCCCATGCACACAATCCAAAACGCCTTGTTTTATCATAAAGTTTGAAAGAATGAGCTGAAATTTCACAAACATAATATCAATCAGCATCCACACTCACTCCCCACCCCCCCACTCCGAAACCACACTATCAGAAGAAATTAGTAGCTTATAAAGAAAGGACACATTCAAGTTCCCAAGTATATTTTCCAAAGGCCAAGTGCAGCATCTAAACTTCCACACCATTCATCAGGAAAAACGAGTGTGATATAAATAAAAAAGATAAATTACATAAACATCGACCACAGGACCTATACCATCCAAGCATATCCTCCAACCCAACTCACACACCAAATAACTAACGAAATGTGTCTGATGTAAATGAACAAGATGAAATTGCACAAACGCGATACCCTACACACTATCTATCATACACCATACACACTCTATCCAAAATGTCTCATGTATTGTTTTAACAACCACGCCAACTACAACAAGATTGGGTATGTTGAGTAAAAGGAGCTTTAAGTGCACAAACAAATTATACACATGTATCTATACCATCCAATACCTCAAGTTTTTATACGTTGGTATATTTGACTTAGCCCAAAACAATCGTCTATTATGGCCAATGATGTTCTTATTTTTCTCTCTCCCAATATTTAAGACATGCAGTGAAAACCATTACCTATTTATTGTCAAACTAAATATTGAAAATCAATATACTTTTTAAAACTGACAAGTATTTGTTGCATTTAAACATTGTGACACGCAAAATGTGAAAATGCTATTATGCGATCGGTATGGCAATAGCTTTTTGTCTAGTACTCTAGTCTGGAGACAAGTGTTGAGAGAGAGAGAGAGAGAGAGAGAGAGAGAGAGAGAGAGAGAGAGAGAGAGAGAGAGAGAGAGAGAGAGAGAGAGAGAGAGAGAGAGAGAGAGAGAGAGAGAGAGAGAGAGAGAGAGAGGGGGGGGATATGGTATTTTTTCAACATTGTGGGTCAAAACATCAATATGAGTTCACTTTTATATGAGTTTCTGAAAACACATTCCATATTATAAATTTTGGTAGGGAATTGTTTTAATTCATCAATTTCATAAAAGAGTATTATTATATGCATTGCAAACTGACTGCAAAAACAATTGATTTATACCCAATCACAGTTTAATAGATGTCATGTTTTGCAACGTAAGCCTTGAGACTAGAAATAATATTAAAACATTTCCCTACAACATGAAAAAATTACCTTAAAACAGATTATCAAACTTAAATGTACGTAAAAATTTTCTCATCTAACAATATAGCGTGACTACGCATTGTATGACCACATGGCAAATCAATATGTAGTATTCGACGTGATGGTGAATGTCGATACTTTCACATTAATGCGTGTGATAATAAAAGATTATGTGCTTCTGTCGCCGATGGGACGTAATAGTTTAAATACAAAATTATATTCTCTATTTCAAGCAAAGCAATCTTTATGCAATTTCACTGTAATGCATGAAACAAGTAAATTTGTTGTATCCGGGGGATAATGGCAAAGTGTTAACGATCAAAATTTACGTAATAATCTCTCTGTCTGTCTGTCTCTCTGTCTCTATATCTCTCTTGAAATAAAAGTGAAGGGAAATTCATAGAAGACAAATTACACATGCATGTTTTCTATATCGTGGGAAAAGAATATTGCCAGTGTTTTGTTATATAGAGTCAAAGAACGGCAAGAAGTTGGCGACTATCCGATGGTATTTTAACAGGATCAAATGATATCCACTATCAGCTTCTGAAACATTTACATGACACAGCTCTTGACGATAGCACTACCAAGTTTTATCATATGCCTACTGTATTATTTACGTACCTATATGACGATTAAATTAACAAATATAATTAACTAAAAAAATAATATTCCACAGCACTAGATCTCTACACGTACAACTACTGAGCCTACCTTTTGACAAATAAGTAGGCATTATACTATATGATTGGGTAAATTGTTGTTGTAGGGTTTAAGGCCATTTTTCAGCACAAGATAGGCTATATATGGCGGCCAGTATTAATGGTGGAGGAAGAACCCTGAAAAACACAGGGAAGAACCACCGACCCACGAGAAGCTACTGCAGGCTTTCTCACTTACCCACGTTGCCCGAGTCTAGACTTGAACTAATGCAGACAGAAGTGAGATGGCAGTGATTCGTAACAATCAGCGCTTTAGACCACTCAGCCACTCAGCGCCCCCCTTCCCTTGGGTAAATGAGCTCATCTTCGTGCTCAGAGAGCCAGTAACGTAATTAAATTGCACAATCTACAAAACCAAGGCTTGAAATAAAAAGAAATCAGAATTGAAAACAGATAAACTAATACACTGGCACAAATAAAACCTTCTGGACGTCTGAGTTTTGTGACTTTTTACAATTCTCGAAATGGCGACGATATGATAGGCATCGCAAGATGATGATTCTAGTTCTAAACCAGATTATAAATAAAACTCCTTCCAGACAAAATATTTTGTTGGACATGACATTAATGAAAATAAGTGTACAAAACGCATGCCTGTAGGGAAATCTAAATGATGACTACTCTAAATAAGTAATTCAAAAAGGGCAAGAACAGTTCGATAATGTCGATAGAATTAGCATGCAAGAAAATGTAATAATTCAACAATGACCATATGTTTCATAGAGTGTGTAATTTCAAAGCTGATGGATGAAATATTCGAAATACTTTATAGTAACGTTGAAAAATTGGCAAAATCTAGCAACGCTAAACAAACTGCATAAGTTTACTTAAAGTTCCAATGAAGCGAATTATTATTGACTGTACAATCAGTTATGAATCAGCCTCTTTCAGTATAAACAATCGGTCGAGACAGTAGAAATTAGTTTGTTGAAGATAGATGGCCTGACTGATCATGTATCCCTGATGCCTTGGGGAAATATTTGTCCAATTACTATTTAGCTGATATCTTCGGGTGGGGGAGATTTTGAAGGACATTGATCGCCGATATCTTGGAGAAAATTCCGATGGACCAAATAGCTCCGGTATCTTGCGGAAACATTTAATTCCGCCTGATATTGTACTAGTTTAAAATTTTCATTACATGCATGACATCCAAAACAACGACGGTTGTTTGTACCGATTCATACGTGCTAGAATACATAAAATTAATTTTAAAAAAAGAATGTCAAAGAAGACAAATATCACAATTTGTCGCTTCCAGACTCTTAGTCATTAGTAATGACCACCTTTTGCAAAATAATAATAGCGATGTACATTGAAAAAAATGTACTAGATGTGCTACAGACGAATAAGGACACAGAGAAGATTAATCTGTAATTAAAGAGGTCAAACGGAACAATTTTAATATGTACGAAACGTTTGTTCGAAACAAATCTAATTTCCTTTTTTTTGTAGACGATAATGGATATAACAGCAGGAGAAAATGTATATTAACAGCAAAAGCTTTAAATGTGTCACGCCGAAGCAAATTTGCTCTAGGTATGCCAGATAAGCCAATAGATCACTGTATACTCAAACATGTTCATGCTGTTTGGAGAACTCTAACATTCAAATTGTCTTGATTTCCAGTCGCCGAAAGGGACATTTAATCAGTCTTTATTTACATTACAAAGAATTTATAGGAATGGCGTACAAGTTATCGACATTGCTTAACTTAGAAAAGTCGTGTATCGGAAGCAATAACATGACAACAAAGGGAATATTAAGCATCCCAAGACTTAAAAATTAAATAGATACTTTCTTTTCCATATCAACTGCATGACATATATTATTCCGCTGCTGACTATAACTGATGTAACAGCGACTACTTCTTGAATCATCACTACGGACCAAGAAGAAACATTATGGATTTAGTTTCGCAAACAGAAATAACCCATGACGAGACAGTAAAACCGGTTAGATCACAAACCTAGCGGTTTAAAATTAAATCGGAACAGTGAACAGTGAATAGCTGTGTAATTAGAGTTGAACGCCGAATACACTTAATAATTGAATGATTAAACAGAAAAGGAGAAATCTAAATTTAATAGGTCATATTATTATACTGCTGTCACTATCAGTTATGTCTAAGTGATGTCTGCTTTTCCATTATGATAAATACGTTGTTACTGCTCTTAGCTGAACTGCACTAGTACAGTAGAATACCGTTGTTCCGCAAGTGATAGTATACAGCCTAAGAGATGAATATGCGTTAGTGTAAGAAAGGGACGAACAAACTTTGTGTAAACAGGAGAGTCTTTTCTCGCCATCTCAACTTCATTTTGAAACATAAAACAAGAAAATATAGTTCCAATAACCTTAATTACTACAGGTACTAAAACATAGATGCCAATTCACCATCTCCCCATTCTCCTTTAAATTTGGTTACAACGACTCCCTGAAGTGCCGCATGAGAAGCGTGATCAACTAAACGTATTGTGGTAGGTATTGATCAGATGGTATTCCTTTGTTGTATACTACTTCCACACGTTAGGAAATAATGCATGGAAGTACTGAGCATAATATATATATATATATATATATATATATATATATATATATATATATATATATATATATATATATATATATATATATATATATATATATATATATATATATATATATATATATATCCTCTAGGATTTGAAGCCTGAACTGTTTCATTGCAAGTGATGAAGAGAATGCTTGTAAAGATGGGCTGGTGGTTGTTTATATATTAACAAGGATATATAGCCTTCCTCAGATAGGTTTTGTCCATGTTCTTTGTTTCTATGAATTTTTGTCATCATATAGTTATCTAGTGAACTTTTCCAATAATTGATCCATAAATCTACTGCTCTCTAGAAATCGGATCGTCCTTGTCCTTGCAACTTCTTTGCGATCATTTCAGACATTTAAACTATGAATTCTATAGAGAACGAGATATACCTTTCATCATTGTTTAGAATGATTGCCCCTATTTGATTAGGGTAATTCTTCGCCGTGATTTTGATAAACAGGAGGGCGTTAGAACCTAATATGGTTAGGATAAATGGCAATAGTTTAGTGGTAATGTAGATCATGGTTCAGTAATACCGTAATTACCAGGTAATGCGTATTATTTAAGATTTACTAGAAGGATTTTGTATTTTGACGATAATATACCCCGTCATTTCTAGAAAAAGGATGATGCGAGGTTCAAACAAGGTTAGTTTATTGTCATTGAGATATGGGATAGAGAACAATATCCCTTATAGTTTTGAAAAACGCCTTAAGAGTTATTACAAAATGCTATAACATCATGTCTTTTATCAGGACATACTGTTGGAATGAACTACTTTAGTTAAAGTTATAGCTATAGGTGCGACATGAAGAAATAAAAATTGTTTATGTTTATTTATTATATTTTTTTATCAACGGTGTAGATCCCAGAACTCAACGTGTCAGCTTGCATACAAATTTATTACTGAAGCGTGAATCTCACTGTTGAAGATATTTCTTTGTACTAAATGATATATTACAGATTAATCACATGCAGTTTGCTTTAATGTGAAAAAAGTCGAAAGCATTTAAGTACATTTTTCAATCCAGGAACGCAAGCTAAAATAACTTATTCGCATTTCATCTCCATGATTATTAAAAATATCATGTCGAATGTCTGATTATTCTTAGTTTTGATCAGAACAACGAAACAGTTGTAATGTTTTAATGATATCGTAAAAGCGTTATCTCAAAATGATTTTTGTCACATTTTGTTATCAATGGTGGACCTCATTCTGGGAGAGATGTCTCTTAGTTCTTAATTAAAAATGAATGGCACAAAGTCTCTTTCACGCTTATTGATAGGGTGGATAGAGTGTTTTCTTATTTTAGTTCATTTTACTAAATAACCCTGTTACGGGATAGAAAAGTTCCAAACAATAACATCCAGCACAAAGTAGATTCCTAATCAATTTTGAATGATCACTCAAGCTAGGGCTCAATATGACTGCACTTTACACAGATTGGTAATTTCACACCAGGACTATAATATATAAAACTACAGAATGGAGACAAGGGTCCTTTAACATTATAAATTCTTGCTTTTACATTGATGAAACAAATACAAACTCCAAGTCCTATGGGTCAGAATCTTTATCAGTATCAGACATGTGAATTATGTCAAATTTTTAAATTTATTTCTAACATTACCATATCTGACCGCTTAAACTTCCTTTAACTATAACTATCATACACAACAATATCTCTTGCTTTATTGATAATCAATATTTATACAATAAATTGGAATGAATTGTAAAGCATTAATATGACGGCAAGATACTCATAGATAAATAAGACGATTAAATAATTAACAAATCGTTTCTCGTAAGAGAATACCATTTCACTACGGTGTTTAATTTTTATATACTTGTTATATTCACATTTTCCTTGCTATATATCCATGCTACAACTTTCGATACTAACAACTGGATGTAAAGTGTGAAAAAAAAACAGACTATGAAATGAATCGTAATTTACCTAATGTTGTTTACTTTAATCAACAACTTGGACAAGCGTAAATAAGTATCAATGAATTATAATTTATCTAACGTTGTTTACTTTTATCAACAAGTTTGGACAAGCGTAAATAACTATCAAAATGTCCTCTTCATTATTGCGTGTCTTTGCACATTTATTTATTTGTCATTTTGGTAAATTTTGATTTCAAGTAAAGATATTGTACAACATTGATATATAAAATACACGTGAAATATTACTATTATTATTCACAATTGTGACGATTTTAAGCGAGATATTTTTCACAAATTCATAAATTAATGGCAAATAATACTAATTGATACTGATGATTCAGAAAACATTCTGTCATAAATTTTGGTAAACAGTTTTTGGCAGCTTTGAGCAAGCACTTAATAATAAGTGTGAAAACCTTGTAAAAGAGGTCAATCCGGAGGAAAATCCAACGTTCCAAAGAGCCTAGCGTTGTGCCGTATATAACGTTGTGCCGTATATAATAATTTTGTTCTCTGGAAACATTGGAAAACTATTCTGTATTTGCGCTGTTATCAATGTCTATCTCCCTCTGTCTGTTTGTCTGTCTGTCTGTCTCTGTATCAATGCTGAATACCACTAGATGTATACATATTTCATTAAAAGGTTAAGAAACTTGCAGTTTCCTTGTAATAAAAAAATTATACAACGAGTAGTATATCATTGATACAGCGTACATACTAGACATATATTTTATTTATATCACA